CCATGTTAACTTCTCAGCCCTCCCTCCAGCCCATGTTAACTTCTCAGCCCTCCCTCCAGCCCATGTTAACTGCTCAGCCTTCCCTCCAGCCCCAACTTAACTGCTCAGCCCTCCCTCCAGCCCCAACTTAACTGCTCAGCCCTCCCTCCAGCCCATGTTAACTGCTCAGAAACCTAACTGAACACCAACATGATTTAATTAATTCTTTGTTTTGGAAAAATGATATCTTTGTTTTTTGTTTTTGTTTTTAAATATAACAACTAGTAGTTCTGGCATCTTTATGGTATATTTATAGTACAATAATAAAAAAAATCTCTGTCATGTTTGTTCTCAACCTAATTGCTATAGTGGGTATCTACACATTTCACCAACTGTGGCTGGAGATATGACTCAGCAGTTAAGAGAACTGGCTGCTCTTCCAGAGAACCCAGGTTTGATTCCCAGCATACACAAAGTGGCTTACAACTATCTGTAACTCCAGTTCCAGGGGGTCTGACACCCTCTTGTGGCCTCCCTGGACACTGGGCTTGAATGAGGTATACTGACATTCTTAAAGGCAAAATCTCATACACATATAATTTTTTTTTTTAAATTTACAAGTTGGTGAGAAGAATATTGGTAACTGAAAAAAATCATTGAGGAGCTTTTCCCTTGTCCATTTTCTGCTGGCATGATCGAGTGGTCCTTCCAGTCATTTGACCGCAGGGAAGGAAGGATATTACTGCATTCCTGTCTTAAGTATATTGATTACTATTAAAATTGATGGTTTTATCATATTCTGTAATCATATCCGTACCAGTTCCCAAGAATAATGTTTTTAGATTTGGTAAAAGCTGAACTGAGCTCAGGCTTTGATGCTGTGGAAGCCTAAAGTGATGCCGCAGCAGCATCCCTGTGCACCTGCGCCTCGGCAGCTGCAAGGTGCAGCTGTGAGCAGGGTGCGAAAACAGTACTGTGTAGTGTGTAGTAGAGTGCTCAGCACGGAGCAACTCTTTTTCCAGGCGCGGGGGAAGGGACTTTGGAGACAGGGTTTCTCTGTGTAGCACTGACTGTCTTTGAACTCACTCTGTAGACCAGGCTGGCCTCAAACTCACAGAGATCCGCCTGGCTCTGCCTCCTGAGAGCTGGGATTAAAGGCGTGTGCCACCACTGCCTGGCTAAGTTTTCAAATTCTTAATGAAACAGCCTGTTATGAAATGGTGGAAGTTTTCATGGTATTAAGTAGTGTTTAAGTACTTTGGCATTCAACACATAATCTGTTGAATGCTGTAAAGTGCCTTCCTTAGAACTCTTCCCCTGCTGTGGTACATTCATGCAATCTCTATTTCTTAGTTCTTGCCATGTGAGCTTCTGTGTTTGAGTTTTCATTCCTAGAGCCTAGAGCAGTTTCTGCACATGGAACACTCTGAGTAAGTTTTGTTGCATTTTGATAGGGGTGAAGTACATTCTCTGTGTTCAGGGAAATAGATACCTGAGCTGTATTTTTTTTTTTGTTGTTGTTGTTTAATCTTGTCACTTGAGAGGTTGAGCACATGGTGTTTGCTAAATGTGCTAAATCATCAATTAGATTATGCATGAAAAACCCCGAGACCATGACCTAAGCATCTTTATTCTGTAATTCACTGGCCAGGTTTAAAGTCTATATAATAAAGTTGTGTTTTTATTAACAAGATTTATTTTGACATTTTAGATATTTTTGAAGATTATGCTTCTCCTACCACCGCAGCCCAAACCCTGCTGTACACAGCTGCGAAGAAAAGGAAAGAGGTATACAGTTGTCTTAACTGAAAAGCAGCTTGTGTTGAGTTGATGTCCTGATGTCCTCAGTACTTAACAATTTATATCTGCATTACTTACAACCTATCACTTCAAATAGGTTTTTTTTTCCAAGTAAAAGATTGAAGTATCTTTGATACCTTTCTTCTTGAGTTTATAGTTGATGAATAAAATACAATAAAATGGCTTTAATCTTGAAAATTGAATTGAAAATGCACATCGTATTCAACATGGTGGTGACAAGATGGAGATTCATGCAGATTGAAATAGATTTTTCTGTTCCTTTAGGTGTTGCCAAAAATGATGGCGTTCTGTTATCAAATACTAACAGACCCGAACTTTGACCCTAGGAAGAAAGATGGAGCCCTGCATGTGATTGGTTCCCTGGCTGAGATTCTGTTGAAGGTTAAGACTATTAATTTCTTTTTCTCATATCTTGGAAGGTATTTGTGTAGTGTATGTGTGATAGTGTGTGTGTTCATGTGTATACACATGTGTTTTGGAGGCCAGAGTGAGGTGTCTTCTGTTACAGCTTCCCACTTTATTTATTTTTGTTATTTTTCCCACTTTATGTGTGTGGGTGTTTGTCTGTGCGTGTGTCTGTGCACCATGTGCATGCCTGATGCCTGGAGAGGCTAGAAGAAGGTGTCAGAGTCCCTGAAGCTGGAGTTAGAGATGGTTATGAGGTACTGCATGAGTACTGGTACTGAACCTGGGTCCTCTAGAAAAGTAGCCAGTGCTCTTAACTGCTGAGCTGTCTCTCTAGCTGCTATTTATTTATTTTTAGACAGACCTCTCATTAGCTTAGAACTTAGCAATTACTAGACTGGCTGGCCATTGAGCTTTGGGGATCTGCCTGTTGCTGTGCTCCCCACCTCCCCCATGCTTAGATTATAAAGATTATTCCTGACTCGTTTGAAAGATGCAATGTGTAGATCAAACAATTTTACAAAATTGGGTATTAAATGCAAGTCACTGTAAATATACTTTTGGGAAAGTGGCTCTCACATACGATGGAGTCATTGGTCACTGAAATTGACTTTCTGTTCTTTTTTTTTTTTGACTTCCTGTTCTTAACAGAAGAGTTTATTCAAGGACCAAATTGAGCTGTTCCTACAGAATCATGTATTCCCATTATTATTGTCTAACCTGGGATATCTTCGAGCTAGAGTAAGTTTTGGTTACATCTGTTATAAATATTAAGATCTCACCTGTAGGGTAGTTTCTGAAGTGAATGTGATGATTTGTTAAAAGATTTCATGTGTGACACTGTCACAGGGCGCTGCCATCTCTGGTGGCTGCCCCCCGACACAGCGGTGTCATCGGTGGCTGCCCCCCC